ATATATATATCCAGGGCAAATTCAGGACAGATTTCCCATTGCTGCCTCTACAAGTATTCTGAGCTCCAACAAAACTAAAACATTCACTATTCCTTGAATATGCTTTAGGGAAGCATTTTTCAAAATTCAGATCAAATACTACTTTATTAGAATCTCTTGGAATATTTGTTAAAATGTATATTTCTAGACTACATGCCTGGAAACTCTCTCTTTAGAATCCTGGGTTCTTAGCACTGTTTTCTCCTTAGTTTCAGGATCTTATTGATTATTCCATGACCACAAAGTCCCATTTAACGTCTGGTTCCTTACATACCTTACAGGGTGTTTTATAAAATAATATTATGAAAATATAAAGCAATTCGCAAAGTGTCTGACCCGGTAAAGGTGCCTCTTATTATTAATACTTGCCCTGCCTACCTCAGAGTGTCTTGTGATGTTCAAGTAAATAATAATGATAGCACTTTTATCTTATTTGTACTCTTTTTTTAAAAAAGATTTTATTTAATTATTTGACAGAGTGAGACACAGCGAGAGAGGGAACACAAGCAGGGGGAGTGGGAGAGGGAGAAGCAGGCCTCCCGCGGAGCAGGGAGCCCGTTGTGGGGCTCGATCCCAGGACCCTGGGATCATGACCCGGGCTGAAGGCAGATGCTTAATGACTGAGCCACCCAGGCGCCCTTATTTGTACTCTTGTAAGCTCTTAGTGGGAATGGATTTTGTTTTGTTCATCGATGAATAACTTGTATAATCTGGTCCAGTGTTCTGCTCAATAAATACTAGCTGAATTAATTGTACAATAGTTATTTTTGTGATAGCAATTTATTCAGAGTTCCTACACATTATTTAAAAAACACTCTTCTTGTTGTGCTCCCAGAGGAAGCCAGCCCCTGGGGTATCTTCGGTTCATTTGGTAGCCCCCAAAATGCTGCAGGGTCAGGTCCTCCAAGAGTCCAGGTCCTCTCCGCCCCTGATCCTAGGTAGCCTAGCCCTCTCCCACACTCTCTGACCTTTAATGGGAGAGACTGGAGGACCTTCAGCTGAATATTTTGGATATAGCATTAAGTTGCCTTTATTGAGTCTTAATCCCTGGTTCTTAGAGGTGGCTTTTGTCTCGTTATCACGATACAATATTCACCTGGGACCCAGGTGAGATAAGTAGATTGTCACTTCCTGTCCCTGGGCCCCTGTCTTAATGACCTGCTCAATACTTGAACTTTTATGATTAGACACTGCTGTGGTTTTTGCCAGTGATGTCTACCCTGTCCTTCTATCCTTCAAGCATCTTTATAACCTCATCCATCAACTTCCTAATGGCAAGTGTGCTGGTACTGACTGACTGCTGATGAATTTCCAAGGACTCTCTCCAGTGTCCTTTATCCATCTGCAGAGGACCCCCTCCCTGGTAGACTGCTGATACCAGGTGCTTGCTGTAGCTGAACGTGCATAGCATGTAGATCAGGCTGATCCATCAGTGGGTTACTCTGCAAGTGGCCACCCCCTCACTTCATGCCCCGTGTCCACTAACCCTTATGCAGGTAATGGCCTACAGCCATGGTGCTCACCTGGCTGATGGTGCTCATGGCTCTCATGTAGCTCTCATTCCTAGAGCGGAACTTTGGTGATGTGAGCAAGCCGGCAGGGTCAAGACTGTCCAGGCTTCGGTTGATGGAGACTTCACTTACTGCCCTCAGGTAACTGTGACTCCGGATCTGGAGTTTGGGGGAGTGTTCATTGGAAATCCTGAAAGGGAATAAGAAGAGAAGGGGCACATTTAGTCATATTCTAAGATGTAAGCAGTACTAAGATGTGGGAGCACTATCATTGATGTGGCACCCTAAACACTGGGATGAATAATATAGATGGCTTCCTATGATTACTAGACTCCCCCATGGTGTCTCAGAAGGAAAAACTTTTGACAGGAAATCATTAAGGTCTGATGACGCAGAGAGCAATTAAAATTCTCTTCAGCCCATGAAATAATTTCCCCATTCGCATTTTCCCAGGCATCTGGAGGAGGGAGATAATAGCTCTGATTGCCCCATCCCAGAAAATGTCCTGTTTGGTCTGTAAGCTTTGTCTTTTACCCACTTCCTTTCTCTGGCCATCGTTTTGTTCTTGGACTTTCTAGTAACAGACAGTGGGTATACATCTGCAACTATATCAGTATCTCTACCAATCTTATCATTTACTTGTCTGTCTAATCTTTGTGTCATTTAGTTGAGACTGAACTTAGTGTACAAACCTTAAATTTTAGCCATTAACAATGCACACATCTTTAAATCTTGATATGTAAAGAAAGTCTTTACACACTTTGTACTCTGTGGATTTTTTCAAGATGTATTTTAAAATTATCAAAGTAGGAAAGGCTCATTGCCAAGCTATACAGGAGTGCATAAAACAGAAAGTGGGTCTCCCTCTCCACCCCTGTTTCTCCAGAATTCCACACCCTTAAAAGAACTACCTGTAGCAGTCTGGTGTATATCCTTCCTGTCTTTTCTTTCTTCTTCTTTTTTTTTTTTAAAGATTTTATTTATTTATTTGAAAGAGAGAGAGATAGAGTGTGAGAGAGCATGAGCAGGGGGAGGGGAGAAGCAGACTCCCCCGCTGAGCAGGGACCCTGATGTGGGGCTCGATCCCAGGACCCTGGGATCATGACCCGAGCCGAAGGCAGTCACTTAAGTGACTGAGCCCACTGTGGTGCCCAACTTCCTGCCTTTATGTACATATACAAACAATTTATTTTCAGTATTTTTCAAGCTTACTTTCACATGGGATTCAGGGTGATTTTTCTTTCATTGTTAAATTTCTTTTATTTTTGCTGAAACCTTGCTTGCAGTAAAAGTTAAAGTTGATGAGAAAGATGTATACCCAATATCTTTGCTATTATTTATCATTCTGGAGATCAAAGCCAATGAAATTAGGAAATAAAAAGATACAGGGAATATAAATGTTGTGAAGTAAGACATAAGCTTTGTGTATTCACAGATTATATAAGTATCTGGAAGATAAAAATCTGAAAAACTATTGGAATGCATAAGAGAGATCGATAGGATAGCTAGATACAGGGTTAAAAAACACAAAAATTAATAGCTTTTCTATTACTGCCACCACCAAATAGAAATTTTAAAAAAATCCATTCAAAATGGCAAAACGTTATAAAATCAGTACAAATTATAAAAAAATGCAATAGAATTTTATGAAGAAAGCTATAAAACTTTATGGAAGGCAATAAACAAGGCCTAAATAAATGTAAAGGAAGATAATTTTCCTTGATGGAAGTAATATTGTAAGAAAAAAATTAAAATTTTCCTAAATTATTCTACAAACCTAATGCAATTGCAATAAAAATTTTCCAGATTTTTTTTTATTTGAGTGTAACAAACTCATTTTAAAGTTTGTATGAGGTTCATAGCAGCATTATTCATAAGAGCCAAGAGGTAGGGCAAACTAAATGTCTGTCAGCTGATGAATGGGTAAAATGTGGTTTATCCATACAGTGGAATATTAGCTGGCCGTGAGGAAGAGTTTAGTACTGACATATGCTACAACATGGATGAATTTTGTAAACATCATGGTCAGTGGAAAAGGCCAGTTACAGATTATACAATTCCACTTATATAAAGTGTCCAGAATAAAAAAAATCTAAAGACAGAAAGTAGTTTAGTGGTTGCCTAGACTGGAATGTCTAGGAGGAGGAGGAAGATGGCAAGGTTGGGGATTGATATCTAAAAGGTATGACTTTTTTCTTTGGGGTGGTGAAAATGCTCTAAAATTGTGATGGTTGCACAAATCTGAATATGCTAGACCATTGAATTGCACATTTTAAATGAGTAAATTGTTTGGTATGTACATTATAGGTCAATAAAGCTTTATATAATTTAAATATTATATGAATATAATTTAATTATATTAAATTATTTAAATATAATTTAAAAATTATATGAGGCCTCAAAATAATCAAATTTCCTAATGGAGGGAGTTCAGAGAGCAGACTGTGGTTGGCACAATGAGAGAAGGAGAGCCTGTGAAGGGGTTGCAATATAGCAATAATTTAAATAACCAGTGATAGGACTGAGTTAAGTAGCAGCGGAACTTGAGCAGATGGATTTAAGAGCCCACGTGAAGATTAAATATGGAAGATGATTAAGAGGAGGGGGTCTAAAAACAGCCAGAAAATAAAAAAAAATAAAAAAGGAGATAAATATCCTATCAGATCTCAAATATACTTTATAACCACAAAGAGGAAAACAGTGTGGTATAGCGAAGGAATAGACGAATCAGTGGAATAAAGTAAGGACTCCAGAAACAGAACTGAGTGTCTATCTGAATTTAGTATATTGCAAAGGTGGTAATTCAAATAAGCAGGGAAGAGATCAATTACTTAGTAATGGTGTTAGATGAGCTGGGTGTCCACGTGGAAAAAAATGGATTCCTACTATCCATATAGATTAAAAGACTAAAAACCAAATATTTACAAATTTAAAGTTGTCTAGTATGTTATAGAAGAATGTGTTTTATAATCCTTTTATTTATTTGAGAGAGAGCACATGAGTGAGCACAAGTGGGCGGGGAGGAGGGAAGAACAGAGGGAGAGGGAGAAGCAGACTCCTCCCTGAGCGGGTAGCATGAGGTGGGGCTGGATCCCAGGACCTTGGGATCATGACCTGAGCCAAGGGCAGCCGCTTAACCTACTGAGCCACTCAGGCACCCCTATAATTTTTTTTTTTAAGATTTCATTTTTAAGTAATCCTTACGTGCAACGTGGGGCTCACACATACAACCCCAAAATCAGGAGTCACATACTCTGACTGAGCCAGCCAGGCGTCCTGTTTAATCTTAATGTCTATACCTAAAAACTTTTTAAATTTTTATTTATTTATTTTTTAAAGATTTTATTTATTTGACAGAGAGAGACACAGCGAGAGAGGGAACACAAGCAGGGGGAGTGGGAGAGGGAGAAGCAGGCTTCCCACTGAGCAGGGAGCCCGATGCGGGGATCGATCCCAGGACCCTGGGATCATGACCTGAGCCGAAGGCAGACACTTACCGACTGAGCCACCCAGGTGTCCCAAAACTTTTTTTTAAGCTGTCAGAATTTTATGGAAAAAACTATAAAACCTTATGGAGGACAAAAAAGCAAGCCTAAGAAATGAAAAGAAAGTGGTGGAGAAAGGTTTTTAGAAACAGGATGTTGAAATTAAAAGCCATAAAAAAAAAAAAAAGATTGACAGAACTACATAAAAATTTAAAACTTTTGTTCAACAGAAGACATTGTAAGCAAAGTTAAGAATAATAGTCACTGGGGGCGCCTGGGTGGCTCAGTCGGTTAAGTGACTGCCTTCGGCTCAGGTCATGATCCCGGAGTCCCGAGTCCCAGGATCGAGTCCCGGAATCGAGTTCCGCATCGGGCTCCCTGCTCGTCAGGGAGTCTGCCTCTCCCTCTGACCCTTCCCCCTCTCATGCTCTCTCTCTCTCTATCTCATTCTCTCTCTCAAATAAGTAAATAAAATCTTAAAAAAAAAAAAGAATAATAGTCACTGGGTAGGAAACATATTTGCAGTACCACCCGATGTAATGAAGAGGGTTCACGCCTATAACATTTAAAGTGGACTTAGCAAATTAAAGAATAATGCAAATAACTCAATAAAAAATGGACAGAGGCTCAGTAAATTAGAGAAATGTTGATAAATATGAACATCATTTGCACATCAGATCCGGGCACACCCAGGTCCACATCCATAGATGGTAAAGATAATCTCTACAATCCCAATATCCTCTTTGCAGTGTATAAGATTGCACTCATTCTTGAAGTTTGTATGGAATTACTTAAACACAATAGTCAAAAAAGATAGACTCAATAATACCAAAACCTGGGAATTTGACGAGCAGCTACTTTTTGCAATTGCACTGAGAAAGAGGCCAAATTAAAATAGATCTGGAATTTAACAGCAAAAGTAAACCTCCCACATCATTATTACAAAAGGGAAATGGTTCTAAAAATGAATGTTCTTTATGGATCCTACAAGTAGCTATCAAACATGAACTATTTGCTCTGCCAGCTCAAGTAAATATTTGCCATGTGTTACGTGCTATTATGATGATTCACATGGGGTTACTTTATAAATGCTCATGGCCCCAATCCCAACCAACCAACAAACCAAAGAATTCATTTCCCCCTAAAGATCTCTTCTAGAAAAAGAGAGACTTGGCTAGAAGCATTTATAACTAAAGTTCATGTCCCCTTAGAACTTGAGAATTAGATGGCAAATGTGTTTCTTTGGCTCTTTTGCAACCTGACCTAGGGCAACGATATTGCCAACATAAATGATGCTGCTGTGCCCAATGGTTAGGGAGCAGCAATGAGGGGGTGACTATTTCATAAATGCTGTATATTCAAAAGAAGAAGCGAAAGTCCAGTGTTTTGAAAAATGAGTGTCTGCTGGCTGAGATGGGGAAATGAGGCATCATTGCAACAATCATTTACCCTGGTCACTTGTTAAGAAATAAGGCATAATTCCCAAATTTCTAAGTGAAAAATCATTCAGAAACGATTGAATAGTTCTATTTTGGTGAGTCATTTCTGATAAAACAATACATACTTTAATCATACACTAAATATAAGGAAATGAACTCTTACCTTGTCTGCTTAGTGGAGCCCAGAGCTCTCAACATAAAATGTACAGTATGGATATGTGTTGCTGGTGTAGAAACACTAAAGAAATGCCAGGAAATAGTGTATT